GGCCAGAATGGACTCGCCCAGAACCAACGCTGTTCGTTTTCGACTACCCATCTCGTCAGTCTAAAGCGCAGGCGGTGAGTGAACACGTGTCTTCCGTTGCCGCTCGTATATCCTCATCCTGTCCTCTCTTCCGTTCGGGACCCCTTCATGTTGTCCTGAGGCCTCATTGCCTTTTTCCTTTTGGACCTGGTACAACTGAATAGAAATGTGTCTAGTGTTTCCTAGTGGCCTTGGGATTCGCACTGCGTAGCTTAACCACTCTTGGATGGTTGGCCTGTTTCATGGGTCGGGTGACCGACCCCCAAGGTAGTGTTGCACTTATTTGATCTGAGTCATGACTTCTGCGAATGTCATGAAACATTTAACGAGACTGATATGGTGATGGGTAAATACTCGGAAGGACGGATGGGTCAATATTAGTTCGTATATTTTCCAGGATTCTGGAAAATGTAGGTAAATGTTATAGTTAGCTCTGAAGGATGTGGTGTTGATAATGTCGGCTCCTTGCCCCTATAATGCCCCATTATTCGATCCTGAGATCCGTGGCGCCGTATACAAGATGTATGGGTTCCTTGATTCATTTCATATGCCATATGCCTACCGTTGAAAATGACGGCTTCTGTCACCATTGAAATAGGGTATTGGGTTGTGTGGGCCTAGCGTCCTTCCTCGAGGCGAAAGGCGATGCATCAGACAAGGTTTTTCCTGGTGTCTCCTTTCAGGGATTTTTCTTCCTCCCCCCCTCTCCCCTCTTCATGCTTAATCTCTCTCTTGCACCCCTCTGCATGTCTCACGTGCCACTTCCTGACTGGTCGAGGCATCTGGCGGCAGGAAGTTGTACTATAGAAGCATGTACTGATTCAACCCCGATCGATAATTACCAAATTGTGGTCAACGCTTCTTGTTGGACTCGTGTAAACCTCGATTTTTGATGTGCTTACTTGAATACGTTTCGATGACCAATGTTGACAGTTACATTTTGACTCGTAAGCATACCAAGAGACGCGTCGGATTTTGCTTGGTCACACTTATGTGACGGTCGCTTCTAAACTTAATATACATCAGATGAGTCTAAGTCATTTCGGTTCGATGGCAATAACCGGATGTTTATATGTAGCATTAGTTTGCCTGCATTACTTGGTCAATTCCAACTTCTTAATGTGTGCAAACATCAAACTTGAAGTGGTGTCCTCATGCATCAATTGCGTTCATACGCAAGCCATAATTGTCTTATTTAGCAGAAAAGTATTTTACCCCACATTTTTGTTACCCCTCTCAGATCTCGTATCTCCGGAATTATGTTTCTTGACATTTGAAGTTTCTTTGAGGAAAAAAAAAATATATGTACCACCTCTTGTCACTCTTCACTGAGATTTGAGGTTTGCTTGATATTTTCAGAAAAATGCTATTGCTTCTGCTTTTTTCCCTTCAGAATATTCAAAGTGGAGTGAAATTGGAAACACGTGGGCAGTATTAGCAAGTTTTGGTGTGTTCCTTCTGCTTGTATTCATTGCAAGTTTATGCAGTGAAGCTGAAAAAAGGGTTCCTATGATGCTTGTGTGGATTCAGTCTTAACCATCAGCATACCCAATCCTCCAAAAATGTGAATAATGCAACTCAGAATTGTGTTCACTTTAATGTGCAACAGGCTGGTATATTAGAGCATCATACCCACCAGAATCACTTAAAAGCAAATAAAAAAAGAATTTTTTTTATCACTTTAAATCTTAGTTCTTGAAACACTCAATATGTCTGCATTCTTAAATTGGGCAATAATGTAGGATTTATGTTATATTGTTTCTCTCATATGCACTACACAAATATAATTTATTTAAAAAAAAAGATAAGTGGTCATCAAAATGATGTTCGTCACTACATGAATTGTATGGTGATGCATTCATCTGGTTGCAGTGTTGTCAGCAATGTATGAAGTTGTGGTTCATCGGGCTACCCCTGGCATCAAGGAAGACAAGGATACGCATCAGGAATTTCTGCATATCTGGAGAGAGAAAGAGATGAAACAGGCTTCCTCACATTTCCTTATCACTTGGCTGTCCAGTCCCTGAGTTGAAAGATTCACTGGACGGAGAACTGATAAGGGCTCGTGTGAAGCAGTGTCTTCCTGAAAATTCGCATCATCACTAGCAACCTATTATTATGAAAGATTGTCCCTCTTGTGCATGGATGTGAGTAAAAAGAGAGAACTGTGTCTTACTTTGTTTAGTAGAAGCAATACAGGCATTTTACTGGTTTCTTTCCACAAACTTGTGTTTTACATTTTCTTGGCAAACAGTGTCAGATCTGAAGGTGGTAAAAGGTACTGATTGGTCATCATCATCCCATGCATGGATCCCATGCATAGTGCAGAACATTGGTCACAAGTTTGACACAGTGCTAGAGAATACTTTGATTTCACCTGTATATACACAACTTTCCAAGTGGTTCATTGCAAAAGTAAATGCAGTTTATGAAATGAGCATGAAGACTGGAGGTGAAAAAAACTAATTTCAGGGAGGAACAATGTGCATTTCATTTGTCTAGTATTCAATGCTTTCAGTATCCACCATTGACATTTGGCACCTGCTCACATAAAAAAGTGAAGTTTGCAACTACCCTATTTAGCTATTGGCAATGAACTTGTTAGACCTTACTAGACCCTTGTGATTTCTTTATCTGGCATTTCCTGGCATCTTTATTTTAGCAAGCTTAAGACACAACTTTGCTATTATGTGGCAACTGCTGTGCCAAGAACCACATTGCTTTTATAATTGTGTTAAGGTGAAACATTGCAAAATCCACTTTCATAAGAATAAGTTTTCATTTTATGTGTCATGTGGAGCATGTTTTCCCCCACACTTAATTTAATAAATTGCCTATACTTTCATGAGGCATTGTTAGAGACATGTGCTGATTTGTTTTGAATCTCAACTTTTCATCTCTGATTGATTAATTAAATCTGAAAACGTACACAAGAACAGAGCTTTGTCAAATTTAACATTAGCTTGGATTTGAGGTGAAGAAACCCATGTTCCTTGGATGTGCTATTTACTATGGAGTGCAATCCTGGAAGAAGTCACATGAGGTATTATTTAACCTCCAAAAACCTGGGTGGCATTTACACATACCAAATCTAGGGGTTTAATTTTTTTTCTAAGTCTGAGGAGACTAAAGACTCAGATGACCTAAAATGGCTTGTCAAAGTTTTGTGAAAATAGGTTTTGGAGTAACTTTCCACTCTTATTCATCAGGATTACTCTCCACAAGGTATGCGTCAGTCTTGGGATCTCTGTCACTTATCCCAATAGGACTTTTGTGATTGAATAGAATTGATGTGTAAGAGGGTAATTTTAAATCTTCCTTCAAAATGTAACTTTTATTGAAAAAGCTTTTTTTCTCATTTTCTGCATTCTCACCTCCTTGACAGCTTCTATCTTGATTAATCTCAGCCTATGGTTATCAACCAATTTGTGTCACCAACTCAAAGGTTCTTTAAAATAAATTTCCATTCAAGTCCAAGTCCATTTCCAGAGTTGTGATGAATGCAACATGCTATGTAATGTGGCATGGTATTTTTGCATTTGATGCTATATTTCTGGGATTAGTATTGCAACAATTAAACATAAGTGACTGAAGGCTGAAAGGGTAAGACTCAAAGACTGAAATTAAACCAAGTGATTCTCATAAGACTAGAAATGGAATAATAAGGAATTTGTACAGGAAGCCGTTTTCACCAGCCTGGGCAGAGATTGTATAAAGTATAAGCCACTGGATATAGTTCGTCCAATATCATCCATTTCTGATTATATTACTCAGCTGAATGCAAAACAATTCCCTTAGATGTGTATTTTGAAATCGGATAAGTTTAATTTCAACTAATCTGGCACATTTTTTTACCTTAATTGAGTTTTCTGGTTCACATTACAATATATATGCAAGAAAAGAAAGTCAGTTGCAAGTGGAAGTGATGTATAGCAAATTTAATTTAAAAATTCACCCCCATGTGTGCATTTATAAGGTTTCCTAAGAAAGACTTAGTGAAAGTTATGGATTTAGGTACTTGAAGTGAATACTTCTTGTATTGCAAGCATACAAAGCATTTGCTGAAGGTATCATTAACCAGCAGTGTTCCTCTTTCTTGGGAGTTCCTTATGTTTGTGAGCTTGAGCAATGGGAACCCCATGCAAATAAATGGCTTCACCTTGTCAGCTTTCCCATGCAACTTTTCTTTTTTAAGCAGCCAATTGTTTCAGGTACTGTAATTTTTAAAAATCGTTTCTGCCCTCTCCCAGACCCCATGTTGACATGGGGATAATGGGAGATAGTATGAAGTTTTAGAGCAAGTTAATGTGACTAGTCTCTTGCATTGTTTTATATTGTTTTACTCCCCACTTTCTTCTTAAAGGGCTCACATTTAGTAGTGCTACATCATGCTTTGTGTCATGTTCTTTGAAATATACCTGTGTTTCATTGTAACATCTCTGATGTCATGAGAAATTACTGGGCATTCAGAATGGTGAATGAAGTGGTGATCTGTGGAGACAGACAGGAAATCTCATGTTAAATGGTTTTGAACATCAGGGCTGTTTTTACATCTTTTAAATTTAACCACTTATTAATGTCCTATCTTTTCCAATCTGTGGGCAAATTACAAAAATATTGCCTGGTAGCATACTAACCATCCTAGAAACCTGTCTGAATGAGGCAAGAAAAAGAGCTTGTGCAAATCAATCATTCCAGATATCCTTTATTAACAGTTCTGAAGACAAATGGATTCTGCAATCATGAGACTTCTTTCACGAAAGCTTGAATTTCCCAATATCTAGGCTTTTATACACATTCCTGAAAATCAAGATGAAGTACACTCCAAAAAAGAAATTAGCAATAGCTGAAGACAAATAAAAGAGATTCATAAAAATCAAACCTGGCCAAAAACATGAAACATTTTACTGGAAAACAGCAATGCTGACAAAAATGTGTCAGGAATGTTAGCATTGTCAAGAGCAGAACTAAAACTATGTACTCGACCTCAACCCTCAACTGCTAGCTATTGCAGGCCAGATTTCTTTCACACATGGGCTTCTCAGAAGCAACTTGTGTCAAGCCAGACACCTCAGAATATGGAATGTGGAGAACTTGAAACTTCACATATTAAATTTTTTTATACTTGGTAGTAAGTTGAAATTGGAATGCATAGAGAAAATAAACATTTCAAAACAACAAATATTAACAATAAGAGACAACTTGTTCCAACATCCATTTTACACCTATCTTATCCATGAAGTTGTATTATTTAGCAGGAATTCAAGTGCAGATCAAACTTAAAATATATAAACTCGTATATAATAATAAAAAAAACCATAACTGATTCATTTCAGGTTTTAACCATGTAATCAAACTCCCATGTCCAGTTACTTTTCTTTTCTGTTTTGCACTCCATGTTGATTTAGGGGGTCTGGAACATGTCTGAGAAACCAGGACTTGGCAAGCCCACATGTAGAGTTCACACAAAGGGGACATCGCATGAGGAACTGAGGGGATAGGTGTACCTTCCCATAGAGATGGTTCTTCACAATGTCCACGAGGGTGTCAATGAACATTGGGTGGTCATTGGGGGCACCTGAGCGCACAATCTTCTCAGCTCCCACCTGCACAAGTAAATTCTTAACCTCTTGGATAAATCAAACATGAAGGCAAGAGTACTTGTTGATGAAAATAATATACCGGGTGAGGTATAAAAAATAAAATAAAACTCTTTGAAAACCTTTGAAGTTCATGAGACTGCAGAAGGCACAACAATCTTAATTCTTCATCTACCTCTATCTAGTCTTTCAGCATTCTATAACTTCATCCAATCATCTCTAGCTGCATTACATCAGCACCTCCCATATAGAGATGCATAATGAACCAGCTGCACAGACTAGGATGGTAATCCAATAGCATACACATTCTGCATAGCAGTATTCTAAGAGCAGATTTCTGTGTTAAACTTGATTTTTTTGTATCTTAAGTTGCCAAGTTCAGACAACCACACATATGTACTATCAAATGCTATAAGACTTCGGACAACATCTTCATAACCCTCATTCCTACTCGCAACATGCATGCTCCCAGACAAAAAATTAAGTATCTGGCTCGTATCATTTAGGCATGACAAGCAAATTACAATGCTGTCCCTGCTCAACAGTCCAAACATGGGTGGTTTTACCCTACCTGCTGTGTCATAGGTGCCATAGATTTGAAAAAGCAGTACATTTTTGTTTATTTAAATTATTACAGTGTGTTTAAGTTAAACTTTATTTGGGTTAATCCCACTTGCAACCAAGTAACATGTAATTGTGGTACAACACTTTCAGGATATACTTCTACTTGTTGCAATGAAAGGATTTCAGATTTGTTGCAAGGCTTTGACAAAGAATCCAAGAAGTCTGCAATCAGATCATATAGCTATGTTATGTGCCACATATCACCATGAGCTTCCATTACACCAACAGAATGTCTATTTACTGGGAGGTGATTGGTTAATGAGACTCCTCAGAAGGTGCACAATATCATAGAAATCCCATATGATGCACTGCATTGTTGCAAGAAGGCATCTCATCAGAAACATGCTCATCCCTCAGTTATTATCCTAATGATGTTTTACCTAAAGGTCAGAACTTGCAAAAAACCCAACTCAATTTTCTATGGTACACCCTCTATGTATATTGCCAATTCATTTGACCATAAAGACTTTATCTCAATCAACATATATGGCTTCCTGCATGTCCCTGTAACAGTCAGTGCAATGCTATGTGTTTCATTTGCCTATTTAAATAGATTCTTTGTGAACAACCTGTACTACAGTAGTCAAGGTTTATTATGATTTCAGGTGGGTGGAATCCTATAATAAAAGTTTTTGATAGAATGTACAAAGTATATCACAGTTCAATCAGTCATAACACAAGATGAGAACAAACCTTTTTGGCGAGATCATGAGCATACTCAATGTCCAATTCATGGAGAGTCTCAATGTGGTCACTGGTGAAGGCAATGGGGACGAGGAGAATGTTCCTGTGACCTCGCTTCACCAGGCCTGTGATGGCCTCATCTGTACTAGGGGACAACCAAGCTGCTGGACCCACCTACATAATTGCATTAGATGGGTATCATCCACTGAAACCCTTTGGTTTTGACTTGGCTGCAAAGGATGTCTACTTGCAAAGCTTGATCCAGACTGGTTTAATATTGTAGTGCATTTTCCTTGGAGCATTTTACCATATACAGTATGACAATGCATGCATGGAAAATTTGGAAAATTGTTCTGATCTTCCTCTTTCTGAAGTATCCAAGAATCTTCTGCTTCATATAGCCATATGCTCATATGTAACTGATACCATAACAACTAACATGTCATACACTGTAATGAAGTCAAAAGATTGCTATCAAATTATCCTAAGATTATATGATAAGAATAATTTTGAAGATCTTTTTCCTACCTTGGACTGCCAAACAAGGCGATATGGGTTGGAGAAGTGAAGTTCCTGCATCACAAGCTCTACTGTCACACCTACTTCCATTGGGTACGAGTCCCCTCGACTCACCACCTATTTTGTATGAAGAAAAACCACTTCTTAACAGAAAACAGTCATTGTAGAAGTAAAACAAATAGGTCTCAAGGCAATAGCTATTGTCTCCACTAGGAGACACATTTTCAAACAAATTAAAAGCATGTAGCATGTGGCACTCTAGATGTGAGAGAGGGCAGAGTCAATTGAAAGAAACCACTGACATAGGCTGGGAACTGGCGAAGTAGTTTGGTTACAAGCAAGTTTTGCCTCAGTTCAACACTCTGATTGTTATTCATGCATAAATTTTCCATGAAAAGGTACAGAAGAACATACAGAAAACAATGAATCTTTTTATTATTTGAGCAGGAAAATTTTCCTGTTTAAATAAAAGCTCTGATAACTACTGCTTACTACTTAAATGGAAGCTAAGATAACTACTGCTTGTATCATGTTGCCCTGACATTTCAAATACATTTGAAGCAATACAGGGTTAAATGTGGCTAATTTTTCAAAATAGGAAACGAGTTATTAAAATATTCACACAAAAAGGAAATAATGCAGCCGACATTCATAAGCGGTTGGAAGAAGTCTGACAAGGATCTGCCCTTCCGCCAAGCATAAGTCCTAGGTCGGTGCAGTAATTTCAAGAGGGGCAACTCCTTGTTTTCGTTTTGAAAGAATGGTCATAAGAATCAGTTGTTTCAACCAACTGTGGTTACAAAATCTGCATTTAAAATATTAATGACATTATATACAAAGCTCAATATAACGGGTAGAGAGGAGAAATCGTTATTAAAGCACTCGGCAATATATGGCTGCTATTTGTAAAAGGAAGGAACTTTGCCACAGTGATCAGTACTTTCTTAATGGACCTCATGGCCCCACGTCGATGCGTTTATGTCACCATTTGTCTGGGGGCGCGATGCGTTAGCAGTGTGATCGAAATCAAATTTGGGAAGTGGTTGAAGAGTCGAAATTTTTCGGAGGAGGAGGGAAACTATGCAAGGGGGCAAGGCCGTATTTAGGGGGGGTTCATGGAGTTAAAACCCCCTGAAATATCTTCCTTAAATGTTTGCCATACTGCTATTCATCGGTGTCAATGGTGCAGTACTTGGTCCTTTCTATATTTAATAGCTTGTGACTTATTAAACACTGCAACTTACAGGAAAATCCAGATATGTCACAAAGATTTACAATGACAAGTATAAAAAAAAATAGCCACAGCGCGTACGCCAGACCTCAACCCCCCCCGAAATTAAATCCTAGATACGACCCTGCCCCCACCCTCGAGGGAGAAGAGAATGGAGAAACAGAGAGATACGTGTACTATCATGAGCAAGGATTTGGGAAGGTTCAGGGGGTTGAACCCCCCCCCCCCCCCCTCCTCCACTCTGCGTCATGGTTATCTGGAATCACTGGAAATCAAGGTGAAATGAAAACAGATTGATAAATTGAATGAAGTACCCAGACGCTGCTCACATCGATGATTCAAGTTTTCAAGTTTTTCCAACGTCATGTTGCGTTTATCTCATAAGTAATATCACTTTGAGACAGACGAATTTTGGTCTATAGAGTCATGAAAGATGCGTGATCCTATCCTTCTGGAGCCAATAATTGAAAGCCTTTGTGAATATGGAAGAGGTAGAGACTCTTCGTCGCTGGTGAACATCGTGACGGAAATCACGAGAAACGTCATAAACCTGAGTCAAAGGAAATGTTTCCTTAGGGTAGGAAATTCGATACTCCCTCTCAAAGTTATTAAAAGAGGTCAGTTCAAAAGATAGAGAAGAGGCATGGCGTCAATATCGTCAAAGTCGATAAATTGACCTCATTTTCTAGGTTCCAAGATGAAGGGTTAATGGAATGGAGTCGAAAATAAGAAACATATTTGTAGCAACGTGGATGCAAAGCATCCACGATGCCTCGCCTTCGACTCGTACTGGGAGTTCAACATTTCTGTTCCTAAAGGAAAAAACTACCATCTCTCTTTGGCTCGGTTTCGCCTTGTTTGCGAATTCTTCGTCCGGAATTTTATCCCGGATGAATCTTTCTTCGGGGGTCCTGGCTTACAAAATTTAATTTTTGAGGCAAATTAAGGACGACTGCCATGTCATCTGGCAAGTCTTAGTTCCAAAGAAAGACTGCCTTTGCTTTGACCATATACTACCCAGCAAACGTTGGACTAACGTTCTATCAACGTTTCGAACGTTTATTCAATGTTGATTCAACGTTGATTCGACGTTATGTGTTTCATATTGTTTGCTGGGTAGTGGGTAGTCGGCAGCTTAACATTCTCAATATTCTTTGTTGGATCACGGATGAAGACGGGATTGTTTCGACTGACAACAGGGCAGCCATTTTGGCACTGCTGTTGCAGACAAATGGTAAAATATCACAAAGCAATCGAGTACCAATATGCAATATGGTATTGGCGGAAAAGCCACGAAATGTGCTTTTCGAGGAACCCTGGCTCGTCGAAGGGGCAAGCGTATATATTCATCACTGAGATGTGTCGTGTGGAATCCCTCAGTGTTGCCTTGGAGGTTTGCGTGTAGTATCAAAGAGGGCAATTTTGCCATTAAAATGATACCAGAATGAAGCTTCTATCTTAATTAGGAGAGAAGTTATTGCGGAAACAATTCTAGTCGAGATGAAGGCCAGGCGCCTTAAACAGATCACATTCAAACTCACATTCCAGAGAATGCTACGAGTAAAAATAAAGGATTCGAGTAATTTCTTTAAAATGAATCTATCTAAATCTGATTTTTATGAAAAACGAAGGTGGTTGAGATCACCCTCTGGCTGATTCGGGGTGGAGTGGCCCACTGGTATCAAACCCACATGCGAATTTTGGTCATCGTGTAGCTCAGGGGTGTCAAACATACGGCCCGTCGTCTGTTCTGGAAATGTCCGCCTGAAAAGACTCTCGGCGCCCTCGGCACACGAGCCTAACCTCGAAGAAGAGCTGAAGGCGCCATCACTCCTTTTTCAACATTGGCAATTAGACGATGGTGTCATCAGGTTGACCCAGGCCTGGGCTGTCAGTATTCGAACCATTCGAATAGGGAGGGATTGTCGAGACGTCTATCACGGAGCTTCATTCGCTCGTCTGCCTCCGATCAGCAGCAGCGCGCGGCAGCGGTGGCAGCTTTCGGATGAGCCACGAAAACAGGCGTGCGATCTCAAACGACAGCTGTCATCGCCACTGCAGTGCTGTTGCTGTTGTGGCTGCGTGCGAATCGATGCATGCACGAGGGTTTTACGAGTCACCTGTCGTGTAATAAGTGTATCATGGGTAGGTGCGTTCTGTTGCTGCATGTTACCGTGAACTTTCCAGTTTTCTTACCAGAGCAATGACAAATATTTTTAAAGGAAACTGAATTTTGTTCTCACGTCCGAGGGCCTGTTTCTAACATAATTTTTACACGTCCACATACAGTATTTAAAAGTGGGTACGCGTAGTTGTCGGCATGTACATGCTGACAATAACCATTGATGGGCAAAACTTAAATTTGGTGTGTCCCAAAGTTGGAACGGTGAAAACTGAGTGAATAACAAATGTCGGTGAAAAATTGTGGGTGAGGCCTGCAGACATCTGCAGGGTAAGAATTGCGGCTCGCCGACCGATTTGAGTTTGACACCCCTGATGTAGTTGATTCGGACTGCAGGTCGGTATATACTGGGTGAGGCGAAAAAAAAACGGCACCGCTCTTCGAGATTCTTTGGAGTTCATGAAACAGCAGATAGCATGGCAAACAAATTTCTGAAAATACTTCCATGTATCCTTCAAATGTCCTGAAATTCTTGTTTATTTTCCTCCAGTCTTTTTTTTTCACACGAGTGATAACGCGAAGGCAACTCGAATTTTATTTTTCCGCGAGGAAACGTTTCTGGGAGAGTGCGGTTGGTACGCATTGAGCGCACGCGTACGATCTCGGGCCGAAGCTACTCCGTCTGCTCAAAAAAATGCTGCTCTTTGCGAAAGGATGTGGTGGGGTAAGAATGTCCGGTAACGGAAGAAACAAATGTAGGTCTATCATTAAGAAGCCGATTCACAAATTGCGAGGGAAGGTTCATCCGAGAGGAAGCGGAACACCGAAACTAGCTGTAACTGCAGAAAACCGCTTCCATGTGGAAGGAGTCATTATCTCTCGATATGATGATCTAAAGATGCAAAAATCCCATCTGCAAATTGCCAGACGCACGGGTGAGTTAGAGGTCTGTTCAGTGGATGAACACTTCATTCTGAAGTGCAAAGGAAAATGGTTCTTTGTGAAGAATTGATTCCGTCAGTTGGGCAGTTTCACGGGATAGCGTCCAGGCGCGAGTGCAAAAAATAAAATTCCAGTTGCTTTCGCAAAATCAGACATATAAAAAGGCTAGAGATAAACGCCAACAATTTTAGGATGCTCATAGAATTCATAGACGTACGTATGAAAGAAACCTCATTGGGTTCGCAGCCGTTTTGGAGGCGCCATAGAATTAAAAAAACAGCGCGCTTTCGTTTTGCATGGCCCGGATATAGTGACTGACACTTGCTGTCAATGGACTACCAAGAATTACACTATTCCAAAAAAAAGCGCGAAAGGTTGCGGATGGGAAGATCCCTTCCATCGCCTTATTGCCCTATCGAAACTCCTACACTATGTCGTCTCGTAGGAGTTTCCTAAATCAAGGGGAACTAAGAGACTTTGCAAACGTAAGGAAATCGTCGTGATCAGTGCAAGGAATTTCGAGCAATCAACAAAGAAATAGAGAGCAATAAGGGAAATATCCGCTAAAGCGAGGGGAAAGCGGTTTTTTTTCTTCGAATGGTGTATTGTAATTTTGCTCCATAATTATCAGATGCCATTTCATGTATACACTGGGCATTCAGGGCGCATTCAGTTGTGACCCGAGTCATGACTCGAGGGTCTCAGTTCAACGCAATTGAGCTTCAAAATAAATTTTACTCCATGGTGACACCTCTTATCAATATCATCAATACTGGGTATAATAGTTTTTGAAAAGCACCGCACCTGCCGAGAATCATGAACCT